GATGAACTTTGGCTCTACGACTTCATATAAATACGACTGGTTAGAAGTGTCAGCTATCAAGCAGTTTCAGAATTTCGAGGAGTTCATACAACGTACATACATAAGATGATCAGCAAAATTCTTGTAAGCATAAAATAGTGTTTTTGAAACTTCTTATACAGTTTTGTAATGTATATCTTTGTTTGTTTATCTGTAGACATAATTGATATCTATTTCATTGAAATATACTTAATTTATCATATTTTCGTCACATCCTCTAAATCATTTGGAACTATGAGTGTCTGTCTATTTTCACGGGTTAATACCTGATTTATCATATTTTCGTCACTTCCTGTAAGGCATTTGAAATTATTAGTCTTTGCTTATTGCTACAGATTCTGACTTTAGCTGTCCTGGCTATTGCAACTGCAATGCCTCCTGTGCAGCAAGGTAGTTCTGATCACAGTGGTCATGATCACAGCGACCATGATCATAGCGGACATGATCATAGCGGACATGATCATAGCGACCATGATCATAGTGGACATGATCATAGTGGACATGATCATAGTGGACATGATCATAGCGCGCATGATCATAGCGCGCATGATCACGCCGGTCATGATCATAGTGGACATGATCACGCTGGTCATAATCATGGACCTGTTGGTGCATCCCGTGGAGTTCGCAGTGCTCAAGGATACGATCATGATCATAGTGGACATGATCATAGTGCGCATGATCACGCTGGTCATGATCATAGTGGACATGATCATAGCGCGCATGATCACGCTGGTCATAATCATGGACCTGTTGATCACGCTGGTCATAATCATGGACCTGTTGGTGCATCCCGTGGAGTTCGCAGTGCTCAAGGATACGATCATGATCATAGTGGACATGATCATAGTGCGCATGATCACGCTGGTCATGATCATAGTGGACATGATCATAGCGCGCATGATCACGCTGGTCATAATCATGGACCTGTTGGTGCATCCCGTGGTGTTCGCAGTGCTCAAGGATACGACAACTCGGAAAGGTGTTCTGGATACCTTGATGAACAAGCTGATCGCCAAGGTAGCTACGGAAGATTCCAAGGACAACAAAGAGTTGTCTCAGCAGTCGGTGGAACCCAACATGTTCCCCAAGGCGGCCAAGGAGGATTTAATGGACCTCAGGGCGGCCCGGGAGGTTTTGGAATACCACATGGCGGTCCTAGTGGCCACCAAGGTGGATACCAACAACAGGGATATTAAAATAAATGTCAGAAATTCCATGTATGAATTCACACAATTTATACCATCGCATTTTTCTATAGCATTAATTATATTATTACTATTTTTAATAAAGTAATATTGCAACACTTTCGGTGTCTACCCAATATTACGTTGTCAATGCCATATCCATCTATTGTTATAGTTTCGTATACTCCTCTACAATACTAAACTTCCTTAAGTCAAACGGCTACGCATTAATGCGATAGAATACAATCATCCTACGGATGTGTAGACATCCGGCGACCTTTCGTACAAAGAATAATGGGATTCTCGAACTTTGCTCGATCGAGCATCACTGACACATCATCGTCAATAAATAAGGACAGAGAAAATTGTCATATTACGAATGATGAGAAATTAAGAATTCACCGATGACATAAGCTTAAGCTTAAGTAAAATTAAGGAAGCAACAAGTTCCACGAATTTATTAGTGTTAAAATATCCGAAGTAAAAAAAAAGATGTCAATACCCTATTGATTACATTATATTCCACATAGATAATGTATAAATGAATACTCATAGCTGGGTTTTTCGTATGTGCCAACAATAACGTGCTGATTCGAGTTTGCATAAAAGGAGGTTACGAGCCTTTCCCCAATTCAGTATGTAACCGCGACTATTGGTGGTGAGTTGTTGTTCAGTTCTACTTCTGTTTCACCTATTAGTAATCTATTCTACTTTAATCTGCTTCGTAATTCATATCCGACATAAGCATGAAAATAAAATTCTGCGTGCTTCCGATATGCCTGTGGAATGTTTTACTGGTGTCGACCTCATCATCCGAGGTCGTGGTAAGTTTAGATAAAAATTTTATTATATTGTCTATGTATAACGCTCTCTCAAATCGCACATATAATTTTTCCTTTCAGAAACGCTCATCTGAGAATTTTGACTCAGGGTTCAAGAGAAATTTGGATGGTCCTACAGATCATTATCACTCTCATCGTTATCATTTGCATTATCATCGTCGTCCTCATTCAGGTCCTAATGCAATGTTTCCACCGTCTCCTCCATTTCATCAGTTTCACCCAAGACCAAACAACCGTAATACACCTCCAAAAAAAGAAGTTCATCCGTGGAGAATACCAGAATTTGAACCTCCTGAGGATTATCACCATCCCGAAAAATCTTTTGGGGAACCAACATGGGAACAAAATCCTTCCGATACGTGGCCTTCGTCAACAGACTCCTCACCTGCAACAAACGGGTATACTGACTTTGATATGGAAACTAAAGAAAGTCAGGATGAAGAACTTTTACCAGACTGCCATTGTAAATTTCAAAATGTTGGAAGCAGAACAATTGTCACTGTATCTGTTAAAACGATGTCGACGCCGTCAACTGCGACTTCAACCTCTACCACAACCTCAACTACTATGTCTACAAGTTCCACAAGCTCAACCACAGAATTTGACTGGAATAAGTACGTCGAGAAAGAACTAAGTGAAGACTTCAGTAAGAACAATTCTGCAGGCATTGGACTTATTGATGTCCGGCAAAAAGAAGTCGAAATGAATTAATTAATCTGACTATTAATTATTATAGATATACCTACTATTGTAAATGTTTGTAAACGATAATGTATCAATGTCATGTAAAAATATACAGGAAAACAATGTCGAAATAATGAATTTGTAATCAATGTATTCATTATAATGAAATGTACTCAGCCATACTGGACAGGCCCGATATAACTTGCTAAGCCGCGTGTGTTTATTACGCAAGAGGATTTAACCAGTCGACAGGAGTAATAACTTGAGTTGGTCTGAGAATTCGTTGAATGGTCGTTCATCCGACCACAAGCTTGCACAACACTAACTGTAAACTCTAAGATGGATCCATCCTTCTCGTGGGCCGTAGCCACTATATAAGATGCACTCGAGATGGTGACCGTTCTCCAAAATAGCTTTTGCTCTTCGACGACTGCAACGTGGTCTACTCCAGTTACGCTATGACGTACTTATTAACCCTGGTAAATATTTTTAGTTTAATATTTTAACGAGCCGTATTGAATATTCACATTATGATAAACCATCAAATAAATCTCGTGAATTATTGTTATAATTAACATACCATTTTCCTTATTCAGTTGCTGATATCATGCGTTATGTATCATTTGGAATGCTTGCCGACGGTCGGGCCTATTTCGAGGAGCTGGGGATTTAACCTGGGCACTAGTACAGGACCTGGTTGGGGTGGTGGAATTGGTGGCATTTATCCAGGACTCTCAGTATATCCAGGTTATCCAAATTACGCTGGTGGATACGGAAGTGTGTTCTCGCAGAGTCCCAGCTTTCCGGGATACGTTCCTGGTCTTTATGGTCAGGGCTACCTTGGTGTCCGAGGTTAACTACTGAAATTTGAATACATATGTATATAAATCTCCATTTAAAGTATGACTGATTCACGAAAAATAGTTTTTTTTAAATTTTTTATTAGACTCCGTGAAAAGCAATACGTATAAAATAGTTTAAATATTATATTTGGTACATCGCAGTTCTGTTAATTTAAGTTCTTTATGGAAATAAATATGCAGAATATCTGCTTCTTCTTTTTCAAATTTAAAATTAAATCATTTTTAACCCAAAATACATTTAACCAATTTTCAACAAAAAATACAAGGTATGATTCGTTGCCGGTCAATGTTTATCAGGCAAGTATGCTGGGTTGCATATAAACAGGTGCCCCCTGTCTGTTTCTATCTAAGGTACATGAGAATACAAGATTCGAGTAATTTTAGTAATAAGGAGGCACGGTAAGCACATAATAATACAATATAGTAGAGTATAGTGTACACCGCATAATTTAATAACTAGACATTTATAGCATACCTGTAATAACTTAACAGATGGCGCCATTAGACCAGGCTCGTTCGTGGTGATGTTAAGCATTACAGTTAACATGTGCTTGCAAGCTATGCACATTCATAGCTAGGAGCATTACGTAGACGTGTACCAATAACGATTTTTAGTGGATAATTCTTTTGACATTCCTTTACAGTATACCAAATGTAATAAAATATAATAATTTACGAGTTATCTAGTAGTATATGTAGAGGTTATACAAAAAATTCGACTACAATTGCTTATTCTAATAATGAATATTAGTCCTTGATACCTGTGCTTTGCAATAACACGGAAGACGGATGTAATATGTTCTCGGCGGTTGACAGCCATCATGAATTTCTATGGTAGCAGCCAATCGTCGTTATCTCTTGTGGCTTCAATTGAGCAACGATGCCCAGAAGCCTGGTAGTATTCATGTTCCATATCACCTGGGACAAAACCGATGACTAAACGTAATCAGCAGAGATCACAAGTAGAAGCTTGAAATGTTTTATCATAGATGGCGTATAACGTTTCAGTAATGCACGCTTACATACAAGCGGCAAAATTTGGAACTACGTCGCTACGCTTGCTGTATTATATACAATTAACATAATTTGTCACGTCGAGTTGGAAAATAATGCTTGTTACTAATTACACGGTGATCAGAAAGAGAAAAGTCACGTTACCGAAACTATTCAAGTCAGAATGACGATTCCTTTCCGTTTGTCTTATAAAGTATTACGTCTTTAAAGAGAAACTATTTGAATAACGTGGAACGTCCGGAAAGATTTCATTCCTCTACTTTTCTCATACTGCCATGAAATTATTGCTTAACTACATTTTTTCTCACAGAAATCGAGCGTTAGGAAATTTCAAAATATATTCATCGGCCCATTAATTTCCACTATACAATTTGGTAAACGTTGAAATATTTTGAAAAGATTAGAATGTCTTTGGAATGTCTGAAGAATGCTATATGTAGATAATATAATGTTTCTGAAAGATTCCAAAGTTAGTGTGTACTAAATTAAAAATTAAAAATCAAAATCTTTTCGATATTAAATCAATCTAATAAATTTTCAAATTTTTCATAAGGATAAACGATACTGAAAATATTTGTACCTGGCGCGCAGTGTTCACATGAGCCAGTACCATCCAGGAATAATAATTTCATATAATATAATAACTTGGAGTGGACTCCAAGTAGTAATGTCCCACGCGTCTTAAGAATCTATAATGCTTAGTTTTCTCTGAAGAATTTTCCAACAAACTCTATGTGAAAATGTAAAAAATGCTTTCGCGACGTCTGCCTACTTGCGCAAATCAGTGTGGTTGGATAATAAAACGAGAGTCGGTTGGCGTGAGCTCTATTTTATTTTCTCTCTTCGCTCTCATAGGCATTCGCACCTTCACTCTCTTCCTCTCTTTGAATTTCAATAGCATTCCCGAGATGGTTACGTGAACGACGCATGGAAGTAGACGCGTAGCAGGTTGCACGGGTGCGGACTCCTCGAGAGGCGCAGGCAGCCGAGTTCTTGAAGCCAGCGATTAACGAGCTGAAATTGAAGTCAGAGTGCGAACGAGGCCAATTGCGCAAGGAACTTACCGAGGTGGTTAACCGCATTGCTCATTCTTGCTGAGAGCGCAAAAGTTATACTTTATGCCAAAAGTCACGGGATATAAATCTGGCACTTCCTCGATGTCGACATCTCACAAGATATTCGTCAACACGAGAAGTTATAATATTGGCAATACTATCAAAACTCAAATGACACTGGATACTCTCAGTGCAGGTGGCTGAAAACGAGCATTGAGACTCGTGAGAGAGACGATAGAAGATTTAGGATGAAATTAGAGCCGAAGATCGACCTAGAGAATCGTATCCCTGACGTAAGCTGTACCAAGGAACGTCGTGGTGGAAGTGCCAAGTAGAAGTGCAAAGACCGGGAGCGCAGGTGTTCTCGTTCTCGAAGAATTCCTACCTCCGGAGAAACACTTTGATTCAATAGGATAAACCATAGGCGCGACGACGTAAGAGGCTTTCTCCACCTTTGGAATGTGACCACCGCTTATTCCCGCCTATCGAATTTCCTACCGTTCCCCGCTGACGCTCGCGAGCTCCATGCGTACCCTCTGGTTCCTACTGGTTCCCTTTCTCTACCTGCAAACAAAACTCTTTACCACGTTGGCGCTGCTTGCGTCGTACTGTGCTGTAGTGAAGTCCGCAAGAGTCACAGGCGAGGATCGGTATAGTGTGAGAGAAAGGGCCGGACCCAGTGGACTCCAGTAGCACTACTCAGACTACATAGCCAAATAGACAACTTGGAAGAGTTTTCTACTCTGTGCCGGGTCTCCAGCTGTGACGTGTAGAGAAACGAAGGCTGGACCAAAGTTAAAGTCTCTCAAGGAAGGCATTCGAGTGACTAGAATAAGTCTGAGCATCGAAGTCTCCGTGTCTGAGCAGATCTAGCTGTGGCGCATGCGCCAGGTAATTTGCCTGGAGGAAAAAGAAGAAGAGAAGTCGTAGGAGGTGGTGGAAGGACAGATAGAGAAGAGCCGAAGTGAAGGAAGAAGAAGAAGGATAAGAAGGAGGGGTCTGCGAGGAAAGACGCTATAGTGGTCCCCTTTTAGCCTCCCATCCTCAATGGAGGGGCACTCGGAGAATATTTACGCCTAAGGCTATCGTTGCGATCCTTGACGGGTACGTGTTCTCGTCACGAGCCAGTTTACAGGTACTCCTCCTCCTGAGAAGAACCTCACGACGTAGATAGATCCAGCAATAAGCGTCCTCCTGCGGAGGCTGGATACCAAAATGGCCGCGCCTTGAAGGATTTAACATGCGTTAGCAGTATCAGGTTGAGCATAAGAAAAAAATTGCGTCAAGGACTTGTCGAGTGAGATCCAATTGATTCGTTCAAGTGATTTTTCCCAAGGGAACCTGTGATTATGGTGACGATACTCCGGTGTTACTTTTAATTGAACGATATAGAAGTGTTGACAGCTGGTTAAAAAAAATTTAATCCTTGTCCTTTTACATATATGATATTTAACTGAATCTTCTAATCGAATAGAGAAGCGACCGATAACGTGCTGCGTGAAGTGTTTTATAAACTCGAGTGAAATTTACGGGATCTCATGACGGACCTACGACTGTCATAAGGTCAAACCCACATAAATTGACATTAACTGACAGTACAACCACTAGATGTACCAGAAGATGACACGAGTTCTCCAGTGTATTCTCTTGCTGGGCGTGGCTCTCCTGAGGGAAACTTCAAGCCACGTAGCACTCACGTTTCCCCGGGCAAGAAAGTATGATTTGGACTTCCTGGATAACGCCCGGACCCCCGGTCCCTGCGGCATGCCTCGAGGTAATCACTACATTCAGAATGAAAAGAACTGTTTCTCCTTTAACAGTAAGGCCTTGCATTGTCAGGCATTGTCGGGATAAAGAAAGAAATCGCAGAGAAATATCCAATCAGAAACGGTTAGACGCGAGCGTGCGGCACGTGTACAGGTTGTGGGAAAAGTGGCGTTAAAAAAAGGGCAAAGCGAAGAGTAGAAGGTGAAAAAAAGTAAAGAAAATCCCATAGTAAGACGCAAAGTGTACGCAGTGAGGAATCTGGTGGGGAGGGTTCAATTCGAAGCGACTTTCACTGTTGGGGTCCCGAGTTAACTTGACTCTTGGTGCTCCCTCTGAGACTCGAGAACTCGCGAATACCTTTTCTGCAATGATGCATTCTCTCACAATTAGTCAGTTGGATGGGTCTTGCGTACTAGAATGTCTATTAGTAATTCATCAAGAAAGGATTGATCTTACGTATTGGCTTGGTTGGATGGATGGAGAAACAGATAATCCTTAATGCCAATCTACATGGTTCTAAACCGCAACGGAAAATACATTATTTTCATACTATTTGCACTATCGTCTATTCGAGATAACTTGCTTGCTCGATCTTTACACACCGTTCGGACTTTCCCTTGGTTGGCTCTCGCCTCTAATAAGTAACGAGGTCCATAATGTATGTATGAACGTTAACGGCCCAGTTAAGCTTATGCGAATGGGAAAGAGAGTCACGGGTGCAGAAAGTGTAAAAACACGTGAAACGGAACACATAGGATAGATCGTTCCACGATCTTACGTATTCTTGTACGTTTCCGATTACGATAATTGATAAGTCTGACACTGTATCTCCTAATTAGCTGTATCACCGTCGATATTTTAGGCGGCATTGATAATACCGCCATTGAGAAATGGTACCATGGCTCGATCGAGGAACGAGACCAAGGTAAATGGTAGAATGTCGAGCAGTAAATGAATCTGAAATGAGTAAAAAATAAGTCAAGAACTAGCATAGAAGATTATAAATAAAACGATGGTACAGTAGAGAGCGAGGGAGGATAAAAAGGAGAAAAAGAAAAAGAATTTCTTACAATCGATCCGATTCGTTGTGTTTTATTCCGAGTCGCGTGCCGTTCGGATGCGCAGCCGCCTTTTCCCTTTTTTGCCTGCATCTTACTTCTTGTTTATCTTATTTTTCTTCTTTGAGTAAGCTATACCTCTGAACTGTGCATTATGTTCTTCTAGGTGACGTCAAGACATCCTTTCTCAGCGGAAGTAGCTTCAACGTGACCTGGCATCTTGCATATGCTCATAGGGTAAGTTCAAACGTCATTGGCTGTCGTCTTTTGTAGCTCTAGCGCTCTTTCTCGTTCTCTTCGACACTACGCGAGAGAGGTAAAATAAAATAACAGAGTTGCTGAATATAACGCGTGGTTGGGTCGCTGCTCTAGGAGACTTTGAAGACAATGCCAGTAGTCGACAGTAACGAATACAAAAGTTGTTGCCGGCTTCGTAACTTCCTGCGTTCTCATAAGGCAACACCGGAACTCTGGCATAACGCCTCTTCGGGCCAGGATCGAGACGGCATAGCTGAAAGAGACCATAGGTTGACCTCTGTGTTGAGTATAGATAGACCACCTGCGTCCACCTGACACCGCTATGAATCATGATCAAAGAGCCATAAGGTGGACGTCGGGTATCATAAGGAATGTCATGCAGGTCCGGTAACAGTTAGCTATGTAGGTAACTCTAGAATATTTGCAGAAAGATAGAGCGAGAGGGAATGAGAAGGAGAAATCCATTTAAGTGTTATTACCAATCGTGTAAGCTTCAACGTGCTGCGCAATAACAAGACATTCCATATGAGTCCATTCGCTACTATATGAATTATTCCTTTGACCAGTCGAAACTTACTAGCTACTAGCAAGTTACTTTGATTACACTGACGCTTCGATACTTGCGACACGCTCTATTCAATCCATACTTTACTGTATGGCTAGGATAGGTAGGTAGAACCAAGGTAAAAGACGGGTTTGTCAAGACTGCGCAAGAACACATGGCGAAGGAGAATGAGAGGGATAAGGACGGATAGATACATAATCATAAGGGAAGGGAGGGGGAGAGAGAGAGAGAGAGAGAGAGAGAGATTCGAACGGCCTACACGCGTTCCGTTCAAGGCAGCGCGTTGAATTATTCACGAAAGAAGCCTTCGGTATTTAGCAAACGACCGCTACGCCAGATATACCGTACACTGGCACCATAAAAATGCCAATGACTTTCGAAACTATGGGTTCACGCCAAGGCCTCCGAGAACCAAGATCCGCTTATTTTTATTCCGCCTATTTGCCTAATTCTACTTTCCGAATTCCTCCTTGAAGGCAGTATAAATTCTATTTCCTCTTATATGTTTTAGGGTGGCTTTAGGTTGCAAATACTCGACGCACTGGACAGACCTCTTGTGGATCTTACCCCTGTCACTCAGCAAAGTGAATTCGTTGAGGATGATGCCACGTTAGTATATTCTTTATCGAAGGGAAATATTAATGCGTTTCCGTATAGACTTGTCTCACGTTTGGAAACTTCCGTCGGTGGATGCAATTCATTATTAATGTTACAGGGCTCAGAGATTTCCGGTGGAACTTCCTCAGAACTTCACATGCAAGGACTGCACTATAAGGCTACTCCGAGAGGCTGATGAATGGGGATCTACGTATAGATTTTGGTCCTGCGCAGATATCGATGTCAGCCAAATATCATTTTGCCGGTCTAACCGGTTCTGCCAAAGTTATTCGGAATTATTAATCATATCTAAATATTTATAGATACTCGAGCGTAAAGCCTATCGCGAACAGTGCAGTGGACATGGAACTTATCTCCTAGGTAGATGTAGATGCGATAGGCTATATCATGGTACCAGGTGCGAATACAAAGAAGAATGTCTGGATAATTCGGACTGCGGTACGCAAGGGACTTGCGTGGATAACCAAGGAACCACGTCACCAACAAAATTATGCTATTGTAATGCTGGCTGGTTTGGTCCTGGATGTTCCAAGAGTGAGTTCAGCGAATGATTCACTGATTTCATTATTTTTGCAGGCAGGATCCATTTGCTTCGGTGCTAAATTCGTTTGTTATTTGATACACATTCCAGGATCTGCTGTGAAAAATGCGGACATTGATTTTGATGCTTATACAATGAAACAATTTTCCGATGACTTTACATTCTACTGGAGAATCCTTAAGGACAGTGCTGAGCTGGAAGGAGTGATTGTCGTTAACGGGACATCCTGGGTAGGGGTAGGATGGAGACCCTCGACCTTAACAGCAGCTTGTCGTTCCTTTCCGGTAATTCGAGATCCTCCTAGCGAGCCACTCCCTCAACCGGAACCAAAATCAGAACCTGAACCGGAGCCAGAATCTCACCATGCTCCAGCATCGGAACCGGAACCTGAACCTGCTGCTTCAGTGGCTGGAACTACTCTGGAATCTGACCGTACCAAATCCGCTGCTAAGAGACGTTCACCTGCTATGGAAACTGACGTTATTCCGGCTGATATGGGTGTGACTGTACAAACTAGTGTAACTTACAGAGTCAGCACGAAACAAGGTACTATAAGTGTTTTGTGGAGTTTACAAGCACGTAAGGCGCCATATTGTTTTGATTGCGCATTATGATTTGCTTTGGGTTACAGGACGAAAGAAGAGAGCGGCGGCAGGGACATCTGCCACGCCTGAACCAACTGGTAAATATCTTTATCTTTCTTTTATTATTATGGGTTGCTCAAGTGAGATATCCCCTGGACGTGCTGTAGTAACATGAGAATATGCACGGAGTATAGCAGTAGAGGTAGTAGAGTCTGGTAGAGAATATATGTAAATCCCTACAATATCCTGAAAAGTATTTATAGTCTCCCCTGCTGTATGATAGTTGTTTAAACTAGAATATATTGGAGAATATGATGTATAATATCAAAGGATTTCTATTGGAGCTTATTGTCTTCTTGTAGAATGTAATAATCACGTGAGTCACTCGTATAATGATTATTTAGTACTTATATGCACATGGTGATGGTAATTAGTTGCATGTCGTTGTTGCTTTGTTGCACAGGAGAGCCTGTTGGCGAGCCTACGCACGGCACTGCTGAGCCTGAACCGAAATCCAAACCTGAACCTCAATCGGAACCCGAGCCTAAATCTGAACCTGAACCAGAACCTAAGTCAGAACCTGAACCTAAGTCAGAGCCTGCACCTGAACCCAAATCAGAACCCGCGCCTGATCCTAAGTCTGATCCTCCACCTGAACCCAAATCAGAACCCGCGCCTGACCCTAAGTCAGAGCCTGCACCTGAACCCAAATCAGAACCCGCGCCTGAACCTAAATCTGAGCCTGAACCCGAGCCCAAATCTCATCCTGAACCCGAACCAAAATCCAAACCTGAACCTAAGGCTGAACCAGAACCGGAATCCGAATCCGAACCTGAACCGAAATCTGAACCTGAACCGAAATCAGAGCCAGAACCAATCTCCAAACCTGAACCAACTTCTGAACCAGAACCTAAATCTGAACCAGAACCCAAATCTGAACCTGAACCAAATTCTGAACCAGAACCCAAATCCGAACCAGAACCAAAATCCGAACCGGAGCCACAGTCCGAGCCTGAACCTAACAACACGTATGGATCAACTAAAGGTAATACTATCCAGATTTCGCTACCAAAAACCATAAATTAAATTTTTTGTCATATACATTCATTAAACATAAGGAATGTCTATCTACCTATTAATTTTGCCATTATGAAGCCCCAGTGCCAACAGCCGTCCACAAGTACACCCCCAAACACGATTTCAACCCTATGGATTGTACGGACATCATCATCGGTACAGCCAGGGGTAATACACATCGAGTAGGGGATTACTATACAAGAGACAGATCAACTCCTCGCCAAGACAGTTTCTGGGGTGGAAAAGATAGTCTAACATCCGCCTTTGGTTTCGAAAAAGACGGTCGTACGACGATAGTCTTCAGGAGGAAACTCACCACTAATGATGTAACCGACCACGAGATCATCGACGGAAACATGCAGGTTATCTGGGCAAAAGGTCAAATGCCAGGGAAGTACATTCACAACCCTCCAAGTGGAGTGGAAAAGTCAAAGGTCTCCGTACCGCAGTTTTACAAAACGGATGAGCTTAAGTACCACGGTCATAAGAGTCAAAGAGGAGTGGCTACCTTCAATTTCTTTGGTAAGTTCCGCTTTGAGTTCACTTTTTTCCTCATTTCCTTCACATCACCAATTAGAACCACATTCAATAACAAAGGACACTCTACTTATTGCAGAAGAGAAAAAAAAGGAATCCGGTGGTCAGACTCCTCTCCAGGGTGGCGGATGCGGTGGTGAATGGCGTTATCCTAGAAAATGTTCAGTGGAAAATGATACCTGTGAATATTCCGTTCAATGGATCTACAAGAGTAAAAACGATCAACTATCCTTTACTATTAAATCAAATCATACGGATAAGTGGACCGGTATAGGATTTTCTAATGATCAGAAGATGGTAGGTCTGATGTTGATTCTAACTTTCTGGCAGTAATAGGCTACTTGACGGCATTAACCAGATTCTTTTCCATAGTCACAAACGGATGCTGTCTTGGGATGGGTTGACAAAACAGGGAGACCTTTCGTCATGGACATCTGGTTAAGCGGTTACAGTCCTCCTCTTCTGGATGCCTCTCAGGATATCTACAATGCCAGCGGTTATATTAAGGATGGTATCACCACATTACAATTCTCAAGGAAGAGGATTACAAAGGATAATCGTGACCTATCGTTCACCGACGATCACTGCCTCTACATGATGTTCCCAATCAAGGGTGGGGTTTTTTATGAGGTTAATAAGAAGATCAGGAAGCATGAAACGGTCCCTATTGTTTCCACCGACAGGATTTGCATAAGGTCCTGTGGGCCAGAAGGTGAGTGTTACAACATAAATGAAGATTACTTACCCGAAGAATATTAAATACTCACTGTCTATTGTAGATGAAGAGAATGAAATTTCCGCATCGGCACCGCCGAGATTATTTTACGAGGTGGAAGTCAAGCTGGTGAATCTCGGTGACGGATTCCAGACTCCTGCACCTGAAAGTCCGGATTTCCAAGAGATATCCAACACCATCGCTAACAGTTTTGGACCCAGTCTCAGTAACAAGCTGCCAGGATATTACGGATTGGAACTCAACAAGCTCGAGAAGTAAGCATTTTAGCATAATAACGCGATACACAATTCGACCGACATGAATGCATGATTAAACGGCTTTAATCCAGGAACAATGATGATAACGGTGTCATCGCGAAAATGAATTTGATCCTGGATAAGAACGAGGCCAAGGGTAGAGCCCTTAAACCAGAGGATACCGACGCTGTAGCCGAGGGTGCCTTTAGGGAGGCACTGAGCTCGGGAAGGGTTGGTTCCCTTACGGTGGATCCACAGTATCTTGTCATCAGAGCTCCAAAAGGTACAGTACTCATCACATTCTGCTTCTCCTCTGTTATCACTTTCTATCTGCCTACTCAATCTTTTCTACTCCATGTCATAAACATTTCAATTAATTTTCCCTCATTGTCTGATTAAACAGTTAACGACGCTGACGTCAGAGATGACGAGGACGATCTGACGTCACCATCATCAACCGGTGTACTACTAAGTGCTACCAAGTTGTATATCGTGGTTGGTTGTGTTGCCGCTCTAGTTGCCCTGGCATTATTACAAGCTAGCTGCACGCTCTACAGGGCATCGAAAAGGCGGACTACCAAGGTACAATACTTACTTATAGTGTTAAAAACTTGAGTGAGAGAGAGAGAGAGAGAGAGAGAGAGAGAGAGAGAGAGAGAGAGGTAGCTAATTTTTGAGACACCCGTTAGAGACCTCAGTATTTGGGGGGGATGGAAGTAGCCGAGAGAGAGAGAGAGACGGGGAGATTAGGACGATGAGGAGAGAAGAAGAGAAAGGTGGGTCCAAAAGAGAGAGAGGGAGAATAGGCGGGAGAGGGGAGGCGAGTGGGACAGTAAGAGGAAGCAAAGAAAGAGACGAAACTGGACGAGTGTCTCCCGGCGTGAATTAGAGAGAGATGGAGGGGGTTAGGCTATAGAGATTTCTATACTAAAACGCAATTTAAGTCTCAAAGAGAACGAAAACAAAAAGAGAGAGCGACAGCGAAAGAGTGAGAAAGAGAGAGCAAGAGTCCTAAATCGATTCCTCAAAGGAAATTCCTCGTACTTCATAATTACAGAGGATCAATCTTATTGCTTTTCGCTTGTGTTGCATGATTCTTTGCGTCTCTGCCATGGTATAGAGGGTGTACTCGCTGCCTTTGGTCTCTTCTTCTGCCTCGGCCAACCCCATTCACCGATCAAGCGCGACCCGCTATCACCACCAAAATGATCATCATCGACATCTTCACCAGCAGCATATTCCACCCAATATGCATCGACCCTCCCCGAGCTGGTAAACATCTCGTCTCCCGAAGGTACACACTGTCTCTCACTCTATATGTAAGCATATATATATATGTATATATATATATATATATATCTCTCTCTCCTTTGAACAGAGTATATACAATATAAGGGGGAGCATAGTAGCACACGCACTCTCTCGCTCGCTCTCTACCAAGCACTCTCTCCTCCTCTCTCTCATTCAATGGTTATCGGTTAGCACGTATTAATAGAACAAAACGCATCCTAGTTCGTAGCAACCTAGAGTAATGATTAAATTGTTTAATGAAAGATAATTAAATGACTTGCAGGCAAAACGATCCTTACAAGATCAGTTGATAGCGAAGAACGCATGGAGGGACTATTCCTCGGGGGCCAATACCAATTACGCATTTGAGGCTTTTGAAACAGAGGAAAAGGCACCTCCGCCTGTATCGAGTTTACCAAGACCCAGAGACGTTCCCGATGGTCATCGGGTAGCTCTAAGCGGTACGGCTGGTGGTGTAGCACCAGGTCCTCGTGCTACGTATAGTTTACCGCGAGCACCAGGTCCACGACAACCACCACCCCCGCAGCCAGGATACTACACGCAGGACCGTAGAAACCAACGTTTCAAGGGTAGCAATACTAGTGCTAGTGGTCAGCCACAGCCAGACTTTTACTTTATGCCAAGTCAGAGAAAATACAGCGGGGAGGTGGTCCGTGTCTACGTGGATTACGGCAATCAGCCGAAGTAAGATTGGAAAACGTGTTATAAAATCTTGTAAATACATAAGCGACGACGCGGCGGATCCTCGGCGCCCAGAAACGCCCCGTTCATTGACATGGCCACCCATCAGAATAACGATCAACCACCATCACCATCACCACCAAAGAGCAAACGGTGCCTCAGCGACGACGCCCGGCGTCGGCGCAAGCCTGTACATTCGCTTTGTCTTACACTAGTTAAGCTCTAAGTTAATCTTTACGCACTATTTATAAGATGAAATATAATAGTATAAGTGAGGAGGAGCGGGAGAGTTAATGTTTGAAATAACAGTTAAAGAAAACTATGAATGATAGTAAAAGCAAAGAGAAAAAGGAACAGAAAATGTATATCAAAGGGAAAAGCCCGGCGCGATGTAATAAAGTCTTTGTACAATCTTTTTTTAACCCAACGCCCCAGTACTTATTTTTTTGTCAACGTGTCAATATCGTTTATTCGACCGATCATCCAAGGCATAAGGCTTCGTCCGGTGACCGAGTATCCTCAATCGATCGATAATATTACAATGGTCCTTAGCTAGGTGTGTTTTTGGCGTCGGGACGCCTCACTCAGGGCAGTGGACGCGGACTCTTTTCTATATACGATATATATACGTAGAGTGGAAAAGTTGGATAGGAGCGTAGGTTAAGGCTAGAACGTAGCACGTGTCACGCATCACGTTCCACGTAAGGGTTACCTTAGATTACTCTATACTCTGCTGCACTGATAGTATGTATAGTATTTATAGTATTTATAGTGTATATAGTCTGGCATGGTTAACGGTACGGGTGGGGTGCGTGCTTCGCGTGAGTAAAAATGATTAACAGCGGGCCGCGCCCGAGAATACGATACACTATTCGTTTCGCGAATGCCGATCGGGCCCCGTGTGACGGTAGCAATAACGAGAATAATATTAATAATGGTCGTAGTAATAACATTAATAATAATGGCAACGGTATCGCAAAGACAAGAGGCTTCAGAACGTTTTACATTGCGTAGCAGCCCGTTCAAAGAGTCTCGAGAATCGACGGGCTGTCATCGGCTATGGCCTTTACAGCCATTGGATACGCGAGCATCGAGAATCAAGGCGCAAAGCAACGTACTGCGACGTTAACGCAACGTTGCGCTGTCATCCAGGATTCCTCCTGCTTACGCGACCCTCTAGATAGCGAATAACCTTCTTGTCCAATTCACCTTCCCATCACCTTTATACTTCATTTATATTCTATTTTCTCGTCCTGAGCACCACTTCTTCTTCTATTTCCTTTTCCTCTTCTTCGTCTACTTTGGGTACTCCATCATTAATTCTCTTGTTCCTCTTCCCCTCTTCATCAAATTGTCCTTCTAACTTCGTTCTCTTCGTTCTCGTCCAACTCGACATCCACATGCTCCTTACTTCCGCTGCCTGACGTCTGAATCCTTGTTGGGCGTGGGCTTGCTGCATCCGAGGAAAATGAAAGGGCCAAAGTAGATAATTGAGAATAAACAAAAGAATTGACAGTGCTATAGGATGTAGCTGTGTGGCATTTACTATGAGGATGCATCATTATTTCGAAATGGCATAATGATACGCGGCTTTTGTTAGGTCTACTTTTGATCATTATTTGTTCATTGTACTTGAAATTTCTGAAGAGGTGCCGGGAGATGAGGATCTTGAAGGGATGTTCCTATGAGTGTCCTCCTTTGAGATATTTTCTACAGGAACGACCTCAAAGGTATCACCGGGATAGAGGGATTTCGATTGAGTAACTGATGCAACAATGGGAAGCCTCGAAGAAACTAAAGGACCTCTCAGGGATATGTAACTCTCAGGCAACATTCTGTGTTATGATAAGAACGTCAAAGGACGGTTTCTCTGTCACTATGAAAGGTCTCAAAACAGTAGTGCGAATTCCCACGACATAGAATAAGGTAGGAATGCCGTTTTGCCTAACAAATGGATGACATAGGATGAATGATTCTTTGAAAATGGCAGAGGATGCACACTCACGTATCGGGACTCTGGTCCGTGTCCGATTCCTCAAGCTCGGCCTTGTTGCGCTTCTTCTCGTAGATGAGGATGATGGCGCAGAGTACAAAAACCTCCGCGCAGATGCCTAGGAAAGGCCACAGGGCAGCCAGCTTGTCTTTCACACGAAGCAAAATTTTGGCCTCCGCACGGTGTATCGGAATCCGATCAGTCCAGTTATACGAAACTCGGCAATAGATGTCGCCACGATCGGACATATTTATATTCTCCACAGTGAGAACAGCCCCGTTGATGCCCCTGTCCTTGTCGATGCTCAGCTTAACACGATCAGAGCTCTTTGTGTAGTTCTTACCACCGAACGTCCATATGATCTTCACTCCAGGACTCTGTTTACCATTACAGACCACATGAAGCTTTTCACCCTCGATGACGGTCGTCGAATGCGGGAGAACGGCTGTGGGCTTAGCTAAATTCGATCCCAGGACAAGAAGAAAAATAAATTATAAATCGAATATAGAAACATAGAGTGGCTACCTTGATAGTAATAATAAAATCGGTATTAAACTTACGAACAACTTTAAATTCCTGGGAAACGCCATTCAATGTGCAAGAGTAGTTCCCTAAAACTTCGTTTGTTTCGTTTTTAATCACCAGGGTACCGGTGGTCGTATCCACCGTGATAAATTCTTGTAATTTCTTGAACTCCTCTGATGCGTTGGCTGCTAATAAATCATGTTTCTCCTTGAACCAGCGTACGACGTCTTTGCTTGTCGCCTCGCCACACTTAAGAGTCAGAGGAACGGATTCGTTACTGAGCACTCTGAACATGTTACCTGTTTCGGGAGCAGAGAATAGACATTTAGAAGGTATTCGTGAATGAAATAAGAGTAACAGGGCGGAAGAACAAGAAAGAAATGAGTATAGAGAGAAAGCAAGATAGCTCGATGGAAAGAGAAAGAAATGTATAAAGACAGAGACTATTCTTCTGGTGTTCTTCCTCCGAGTTCCTCCCAATTCCTGACACACTTCAGTCGTCCCACTTCCTCCGATTATTCTCTTTAACTCATATCGTTAGTCACTTCTCGCTGGGGTCAGCGAATGCAAGCAGATTACTCGTCAGTAATTAAAGGCAAACTCATGGTAAATTACGGCCGGCAATTACCCGAGCGCATTTATACAGGGAGGACTCGCGCGGCCCATTTCTTCTTTCTTTATTTTCGCCCTCCCGGTAAACTGGCCAAACCATCCCCCCCACTAAACCCGCCCCTAACTTTTGACTCATTCCGCCTTTTACTTTTATTTGTTTGTTACCCCTTTCCACCTACTGCTGCTACACTATTTTTTTCGCTTTATTCAGTTCCCTTTTTTTACATGTAACTGGCTACTTATACCTCCACCTCCATTTATGGAGAGGAGAACTCTCTCTCTCTCTCTCTCTCTCTCTCTCT